GTTGATTTAACAAGTGTTTAGTGTGGGCTTATTTCCAAAATTTAGCCCCACTCCCTAAGGATTTCAGCAAATTATTTTGTTCTCTTCACTTTATGTTGAAGTCTAACGTGTGATGTTTTCTTTTTTCTACCAGCTTATTGTTTGTATTTCCGTTTTCCTGACCAGATTTTGTGTGATAGCATAGCTATCCTGAAGGACATGAGCTTTGTATAAACAACTGTGAGGTGAATTGTATCCAGGGATTATTTTGAAACTACCTGATGTCAGTCAGCTTAGTTAGTTTCACTTTTAAAGGGTGACAGTCTCCAACCTTGTCATCAGGTTCTAGTGAAAGACCCGTTTTAGGGCTTGGTGCCTGAAATTATAGTGGCAAGATATGTCTATGATTATGTTCATGATTGTTGTTCATGCCATTGAGGTTTTGTGTAAGGGTTGCCATATCATCTAATAACTAGATGGTAAGTAAAGAAGAACTAGTTATTAAGTAAATGAAAATAAATATGCATTCCTTCCTCATCTTTGAGATGTTTGTTTCTAATGTGGCTGACCACAGGGAGGGACGACTATATGCAGGTTAGTTATGGCTAAGTTACTCCACTCAGGAAACTTCTATGAGACCCTACCATGCACCAGCTATTATGGCTGATGGTGGGAATTCAGCAGCGATTGAAACACTCATCATGCATTGGAGGTCATGCTTTCAAAAGCACCTTTCAACTCTGAAAGTGTAGGCTTTTTGTACTGACTTAACTTCTTACATAAATTCATGTTTGCATGCACACACACACACACTCTGACACAGTTTGTTCTTTGTATTGGAAGGCAGTGATTCTTGTACCCTTAGTCACTGATGTTTTAGCATGTTTTCCAGAAGTAACAATTATAGTTTTCCTCATGAAAAAGCAGTAACTGCCAGTTGTAGTAGCCCCTGTGTCAGGTACCTTTTGCTGTTATAGTCAAAATTCAAAACCTGTTGGCTCAACGGCACGCATGATGTTTTAAAGAAATTGTATTCAAAAAATGTTTACAGGGAAATTTGCCATAGACTCCCACCATTCTATTGTACAGGCTTGGCCCAACCTCCTTATCCCCACCTGCCCAGTGTTTCTCCAGTGAGGACATAACCAGCGCCCTGTTGTGTAGACAATGCAGACATGATTTTAGAAGTTGATAGATCAAATTCATGTTGTCTCAGGCTAGCAGAGTGCACAGCCCAGAACTTCTCATTCCAGCCCTCAGCTTCTACTCATTGGCCCAGAAAAAAATTCACAGATAACCTCCACACAAAGAAATGCGAGGGGATGAGAGCTCATTGTGTGAGAATGAGTAGATTTGTGAAATATGAATATTAAACCATTTCTCACTTGTGGATTCTAAAAGCAAATCCTAATTTGTGTAGAATGAGCATTTGAACACTGGAGGCTGGCAATGAACTTATAAGATCATTCAAGAGTGTTACAACATGATGATTATACAAAGGTGCTTAATCTTGTGACATTTACCACTGAGCTAAATCTACAAGGTTAGTCTGTTTCTAGAGCACAATGTAAATGTTATATGATTGAAATACTGGTATATGCAACCCCAAGAGCCACTGGGCTGTCTTTTCTTGCTCCAGATCACTGCATTAAGCCTTTTGGAATGGAATTTGGGTGCACAAATGTTACTTTTATGAATTTTAAAGCAATTTTGATATTTCAGAAAGATTTTATTCTGAAACTTTAGAGTTTCTCATGAACTTCACACTTTATTCTTAAAAGTGGACATCTGCATCTTTTACAAATAATTATGTATATGCAAAACTAAAAGACAGTATCTGCCTCTAAAAACTTCCCAAATTCATGGCCTCAATGTGCCACTCACCTGTCACACTTTATTACTACGTGTTGTACTTGAACTCTGAGCAGTCGATTACAATTTACTGCAAAGAAAATTAGTCTAATTTGTAGATTTATTGGACACATACTTTGTAAAAGGAGTAAGTGTGTGTATGCCTTCAGTTTTCTTGAAGGTTTCTTATGCAGAAGAAAGTATCAGAAATATTTAGAAATCAGGCTTAAATAGGAATATTTTGCATTGGGAACTTAAGCACACTATTTTCTCAGGATGTGATAATTTTTGGAATTTCAGGCCCAGAGATTCCTTACACATTTCAGAGTTTAAATAAATACAGACCTTTTTAATTCACATACTTTCAGTAAGAGGAAAAATAATCAGTGTTTAACAAGATAACTGAGAACTTTTATATCATCTGGGGATGAAGTCCATTTAATAATAAATAGTGTTAAGAAGGAGGGAAATAATTGTATCACTTCGTTAAAAGAAAATATTCTTTTGGGTATGTCTTAGCTCTGAAGAGTTTGGTGAAGCAAAGCACTTACTTTTGGCATAGCGGAAACATATTTAAAAGGGAGTAGATTTTGCCTTTTCACATAATGCAATAATCTAGGCATTCAGTCTATGTGATGAAGATCAAGGTAAAGAAAGTACGAAATATTTATGCATGAAAAAATCTTTTCCATTTTAGTTGTTTAGTCAAAGCTTTGGGAAGATAGCTTTCAGATCTTAGACACTTACTGATATAAAGTATTTTCCTACATACTTTATGATATCTTAAATCTTTCCAGCTACTAAGTGGGCAAGAAGAATTGCTTCTCCATATTTTTATTTATCTTTTCAATTTTCCACATAGCCACTGTACCTTTATTATTCATCAGCTAAACACAAAAACACAATTTTCAAATTAAGCCTTCAGACATGTTTAGTCAGGCCATAAAGATTCTAACTCTAGAGCTAAAATCCTCTTTTCCCCCAACAAACTGTATTTTCTGGGTAACAAAAATACAAGTACCCTTTGTCATGAGAGTCTGTCGTTCAAAGGTGTATGAAATTAACTACATCTTTTCTGATTTGAGTTTAGAGTTTTTCCCAATGCAAGCATTAAGATGCTCAGAAGCTTACAAACCATTAATTGCTTAAAAATTCAACCCACCGCATGGGGCATCTGGGTGGCTCAGTTGGTTAAGCATCCAACTTCAGCTCAGGTCATGATGTCACGGCTCATGAGTTCAAACCCCACGTTGGGCTCTGTGCTGACAGGTCAAAGCCTGGAGCCTGCTTCCGATTCTGTGTCATCCTCTCTCTGCCCCTCCCCCACTCACACTTTGTCTCTCTCTCCTTCAAAAATAAGTAAAAATTAAAAAGAATTTCAACCCACCCACTTGTGATTTACTGTCATATTTATTCTCTGAAAGTCAAACCCAGCATGTGTAGGACTGTGTCTTCCATGTGGTTTGTCTGCATTTGTACCTGCCTGGAAACCATTGAAATGTGGGACTAAACTTATACATTTGTTCATTTCCTATGGCTTCCATCATTAAAACTTTATTATGTATTATTCAGATATAGAAAATGATATAAACACATAATCTAGTGTAATGATGAACATCCATAAAACCACTACTCAAGAAATAAAGACAGGGGCATGTAGGTGACTCAGTTGGCTAAACATTAGCTTCCATTCAGGTCATGATCTCACGGTTTGTGAGTTCAAGACCCACGTTGGGGTTTGCTGTCATCATGGAGCCTGCTTCAGATCTTCTGTCCCCCTCTCTTTCTACCTCTTTCCTGATCTCTCTCTCTCAAAAATAAATAAACATTTAAAAAAAGAGAAAGAAAACCAGAAACCTAAATTTCCTCGTATTGCCCCCAAACATACCCCACTTTCTTTCCATAAGAGCTTTAAAATACCTTAAAGTGGAGGCTTTTCATTTTCACATTTTAAAATATGTTTAGTGCATTGATACTACTTTATATGTTTTAAAACTTTACATAAATGGTATCAAACTGTATTTTGTGTACTTTCATTTGTGATAATATTCACATTTCATGTCTTTATTTGCTTTCAGAGCACGTAATATGTCCAAGTTAAATATTTTATGTACTAATATAACAATTTTTAGATGACACATGACATGAGTAAAGAACTCTGAGCTGGAATTCAAAAATGAGTACTACTTCTGGTCCAGTAATGAGTTATTTGGGAACAGCTGACATCTCAACTTTTTTATTGAAATCCTCATCTATAAAATGAGTATTAGATTACTCACATTCTCAGTTACAATGAGCAACTGAGATGATTGTTCTTATAATACACAAAAATTGATAGAATTGATAGTATAATTTTACTGTAACAATTAAGTCTTCCAGGAGGAAGACGGCTTTATTTATACAACAGATGTGTTCTTGAGACCGTGGGTTATTTCTGAGTTTTTCAAGGTGAAATCGACTTTGATGCGTCAAGTATTCTCCTCTTTTAAAAACTATTTTTTCTGTTTAAAAACTCGTGTTTAAAAACCAGCATCTTTTTTCCTTTCTTATTTTGGCTTCCTGTTGTTAAATATGGCTCTGGGGTTAATGCCTTTACCGTTGCGGACCCCCTTGGTGGCATTTAGGGTCTTTTACTGCAGTGTGCCATTTAGGAAATAGCATTGTGATGGCTGAGAGGAGTGGAGAGTGCCTCAGGGATAGGTATTTACCCAGACAAATTGAAATGGATAGTTGAGCACTTATCCAATTAATTTATTAAATGTGCTCAGTCGGTCTGAATAAATCAAAAGAAGTGTGCTCTTTCCCCCCTTCATTGGCAGCATGAGATTGGCCTGAAGTACATGAGATAATTATCTCAACTTCTACTTCCTCTTTGCCTATGCAGACCCAGCCTAAAGTTTCCCCCCAGTGAACAGATCATTCTTACCTCTTCAGAAAATCTTGAAAAATCCTTAACTTCTAGAGGCTATTCTGTTGTGCTTTCTACTATACTTTAACCATTTGTTTCCGCTAAGTAGCTGGGCCATGTTTCAATTCAGGTATGCCACCATGGAATAATATATTTATCGTCCTCATTTATGAAAGGTGATGTTTAAAGTAGATTTTGTAATGTGGATTTTTTAAAATTTAAATACGGTAAGAGGGGAAAAATCTTGATATTTGTTTTACAGATGGCAGCTGAATGGAAGTGATATTAATCCGAGTATGGAATATCGCTATAAGTTGAACGGAGGAAATCTTGTCGTTATTAACCCAAACCGAAACTGGGATACGGGAAGTTACCAGTGTTTTGCGACAAATTCACTTGGGACAATTGTCAGCAGAGAAGCTAAACTCCAATTTGCATGTAAGTTTACATTTGCAACATCTAGCAAACCCAATATTTTAAAATATTTAACTGAGTTTGTGTGGTCATTTTGGATTTCAGAAACAATACGTGGATTTTATTAATTGGATAAATAGGTTGAGGAGACAGTTCAGTATGATCTTTTGGATCTCTGTGTACTGTACAAATCAGGGCTTAAAATGCGTGGGGGTGTGTTTTCCATTTTGCTATTTTTGTAAGGATTCTGTTTAGGAATGGAAAAAAGAATCCAGTTGAGAATATGTTCATCGAGTAGCTACTCTGTCTGCTACTGCGTTTGAACTGAAAAGAAAATGAAGGAATTGTCAGACATGATCCTCGCTCTGGGAGAACATTGAAATTAGAGAAATTAGAGGATTATGTCTGAGAGATTTGAAAAGATTTAAGGAACCAAGACAATGAGAAGGAAAAGAATCTTACTGACCTCCCTTATGGTTTTGCCCAGCTCACAGTGACCTTCAGGGCAACCCTCACTGAGGCAGGGCTCTGGAGGCCAGCTTTGTACTGTGTTAATTGGACCTGGGTGAACTTGTGGCCCAACCTGAGAAAAATCACAGCCTTTCTCCAGGGAATTCTGAATTGGGACCAGAGATCTCATTTAGTTTTTATCTTCCTGATAATATCTTGTGACTACTTTCTACTTTTTGCTTCTTTTAGTTTCTGTTCCTTTGCTTTAGCTGTATATTTTGTATGTTATGCATCTTAGGGTTACCTTGGTTGTAAGGTTTCTCTTAGTTCTTTACATATACCTCAGTAATTATGAAATTGGAATGCATGTGTTCTTATAATGTGGTAGTATTGTCTCCCCACAGCCACAAGCCATTAAGAAATTGATGATGTGTCATTTAATGCATGGCTTATTCTGCAGTTTTCTGTTCTTTATAATGACAATGGTTGGTTTTGCTCCTGATACTATATTCTGCATGCTCTGTTTGCACACTTACTTGCTCTTTCCATTGTTTTCACTTTGTTATCTTCGATGAACAGTGTTCGATGTTCATTTCTGGCTCTCTGATTTAAAGCTGTACCTTCCTGAGTACTTTGAAAGCTAGATTTTATATCATACAAATTTAAGTTTGCCTTGAAGTTTACCAATTAGTATTGTATATGTTCTTTTAATAGCCAGAATTTTAAATCTAAATTGTTTTTTCAGAGTTACTCCATTTTACACAATAAGTTTCATTCCTTTTTTCCCTTACTGTATATTTTGCTGTCCTGGTGATTTCTGTGGTTATTGATTTAAATTGTTGTTCTGCCGTTTTCATAGAGGGGTGTGCGTGCGTGTGTGTGTGTGTGTGTGTGTGTGTGTGTGTGTCTGTGTGTATACACATACAGGGCAAGCATATATATTAGGCACTATGTATATATGCATGTATGTGTGTATATACTAAGTATACATATAATATTTTTCTCATGAATGATTTAATATGTGCATATTGTCTTTAACCAGAATTTTGCCAGAATCTATGAGGTATCAGTGTTTTTACCTAGTTTCAATGCCCGCCATGAGACCTCTTCCCATTCTTGCATTTTTATTTTTTTAGTATCTCCATTTTTAAAAATTTACTATTTAATAACTCACATTTAAAAACGGAACTATATATCATCATATTTTAAAATTTATTTTGAGAGTGCACGCATGTGTGAGGGGCAGAAAGAGAGGGAAAAAAGTATCCCAAGCAGGCTCCGTGCTATCAGCATAGAGCCTGATGCAGGGTGAACTGTGAGATCATGAGCTGATTTGCAATCAAGAGTCTGATGCATCACCAAATGAGCCTCCCAGCTGCCCCTGTTGCATCATATTACATTTTAAAGAATGTCATTATATTGACTTGAGTATGAAGATACCTTCTGGTTAGTACAAAGGTTGAATCCCCAGACTGCCAAAGAATTCCCATATGGTGTCCTATTGTCTTATGGAGTTAGTGTTGCTGAACACAAGTCTGAGATCAGACTCACTTCCGTTTCTTGGGAGCTCACCACCACTTCCTTTTTTGTTGCTTTTTTGTCTCACTTGGTTGCATATGTGATAATTTTTCTTCATCCCTTTAGTTAAAAACATGCGTATTTCTAGCATACAGCAACGTTTAGCTCTTTTTAAAATTACTTTGCTTAGAATTTGAGTTACTATTATAATTGCATGTTTTGTACACAGTTTAGGAAATTTTCCTTCTTTTATATCTTTTAGTTTTATGTTTGATTTACTCATATTTAAAAGGCACTGATACTCTGTATACTGGATTTTTTTTGTCCTATTTTTTGAAATACGTTTTACCTCAGGCTGTTCTTTCCTTTGAATTTCTGTTCTTCATTCGATGAGGCCACATCTATTTGTTTGTATTCTTTTAAGGATATAGTCAGTTTTCTGAAATGCTCTTTTGGATCTACAGGCAGTGTTTGTTCCCACTTCCATTTGGTGTTTTCATTTTTATGCTTAATATTTTAAATATGCTCTAAAGCAAATTTTATCCAAACTCTGTTTTTATCAACAGATGCTATCAGTGGATTACCCTGACTCTGTTTGCTTTGCTACATGCAGAGGTCAGATTCTTTGCTCTGATCTATAGCAGAATGTACAATTCCCAGTCTAACTCCCTATTTCTAGGAGTCTTTCACCAAATATATTGTTCCTTTTATGCAGTGATATTTTTCTTTTACAGTTTTTTTAAAGATTTTTTTTCAGTCTGTCCTTCATAGAGAGTATGGCTTGTTTGGAAATACCTCTGAAATTATATCATGCCTCTTCTAGTCTCCCTGTCCAGTACTTAACAGACCAAGTGGGATAAAGTTGTTAAGTCTAGGATTTTATTTACCCTACTTACAAGCTAATAAGTTAGCCTGCTGCTGTTTCACTGATGGTAGCAGAAGACGCGATATTCCTGGATCAGTGACAGAGGGCTTTATTACTCACAGCTCAGCAAGCAACATGCTTCCTTACCCTCAAGTCCCACAGAGGTGTTAAGCTGTGGCTGGAAAGATGCTGCACACACAGCTGAGGAACACTGGGCTTAGAGACCCCGCCTCTCTTATAGCAAGCAGTAAGCAACCTGCTTTTAATCCTAGAGAAAGCCATTACCTTATCCTTCCAGGCTGCTCTCTGCAGACACATCCTGAGAAAGACCTTTCAGCCTTGGCACACCCAGCAAAAACTTGCAGAGAAGCTAACAGCACATGGTTGATTGCCTCTCCCAAAAAGGGTTGTCAGTTTTTTGTTTGTTTGCTATAATCCTTGAGTTTTTCACTTGGGTGTACCCTATCAGGATACATGTGGTAACAGCCTCACATACATTCTTGTTCTGGTGCTTGTCATGAGTTGCTTAGCAGTGTTGGTGTACAGGGAGTCTTTGGTTTGCTTTGGTTTTGCAGTTTGAGGAGGGGATAGTTCATAAGTGCTTTTGGAAATAGACAAGAAGGAATTTTGGGTATTCTTTGCCTAATGCCACGTTAGATTGGAAATGTAAAAGATGCATTTTTAAAATGATATAGTTGAGATATAACTGGTATCTTCTGGTAAAGAGACCAAAGACAGTGGAAAAAAACAGTGGACAATATTTGCTAGATCAGAGATTTCAAACCACCAGTTTTAAAGAAGCCTCGCTTTGACTTGGTAGCCTTGAAAGGATGTGGTGCATTAACCGAAGATGGAATTAGGATCAAGACCCTTGTATTAGTAAGATGCTCATGACTTCAGGGGATTTTGACTGTCTTTGCTGTAGACAAATAGATGGTAACTGGGTTGTCACTGAGAAACATTCAAATTGTTCACTATGTGTCTCCTCTCTTGATTATGTTTGCATGGTTAGTGATATTTTTTGTTTCTATTAGTTATGGAGAAAGTATTTAAAATGTGCTTCATGGATAAATGAATATATGAAAGGATAGTCAATGCACCACTTATAACACTGGAGAAAATGCAAGGGAATGTTATCTTAATTTTCAAGTTGCTTGGAAATCGTGTTTGTAATAAAATGAAAATGAAAAAGGTCATTCTTAATTTAAGAGGTCTCCTTTTTGTAGCCATTCTTAACCCTTTCCAGTAGATTATTTGTGGAATAGTTAAAAAAATTCTGTGTAAGGGAAAAATTTGTAAAATGATGCAGTGTTTGAGTTATAGATTTCTCAGTTATTTGCTATTATGTGACATGTATATAATCTTTGATATACGTTTAATATATTTGAAAAATTTTTCCAGATTCTTAATTCCAACCACAGCAGTTTAGGATAGCAACCCCAAACCCCCAAATATCTTTGCTTCATTAATACTCAGTTTTATTTGTCTTATTCCTGAATTTCTTATATTTCTTTATTACAATGTTTTTATTTTGGTCATTTTGTGATGCATTATATTTTAATCATGAATTATGTTAGACATGCAAATAGTAGGGAGAAATTGGAAAGAATTTCAGTGTAGCCACCAGTTAAGATTTAAAGCATTTGAAGTTCAATTAAACCTACCTGCTAACTCACCCTGCTGACATTTCCTTCACTGGCTGCTCCTCTCAGTAGTGATTCACTGCTGTAAATTAAGTGTGGTTTTTATCCTTAGAATGCACATTTGTTTTTCTAAGCAGCAGGCTAAATTGTTGTACCTTTTTAATCTTTTAAACTTTTCTATAGTGGCATCATACGGTATGCATACATCTGCAACATTTTTGTCCCCTCAGCATTAGGTTTTGAGTGTCTGCTGCTCTACATCCTTGCCAATGCTTGTTATTGTTCTGTTTTTTAATTTGTGCAAATCGGATGAATATAAAATTGCGTTTCACTATGGTTTAATTTGCATTTCTGTGATTACAATGACGTTAAACTCCTTTTCTATATTTGATTGATCTAGATTTTTTTCTTTTTACTGTATGATAGCCTTTTTTTTTTTTTTTACAGTTCTTTGTACACTTTGGATTGATCATCTTTTTAGTGACTAGTTGTTTTTTTCCTTGTGTCTGTCAGATGATGAACAGATGTTCTTACTTTTGAATTAAGGT